TATGGCACTACTTAGGTAAAAGACAAGATAACTAATTTGCGAGATGTCGTCACTCCTTTTACAATGTGCAAAGTGTACGGAAATTGAAATTTTTTTGTAATTGGTTTTTAGAACGCTTTTCGAAGTTTGAAAAATAAAAAGCCTTTTTAGGGGGTAAAGTGAGACATCTGGCAAGATTTTTTGCTCGGCATGCTTGCAACGTTGGAAATTAAATTTTAAGGCGAGTAAAAATTTTTTGTTTAAATCTTCGTCTTAGCTGTGGCTTGAAATTCCCCAGTTCTACCGCTCCCTTGTCGATATATTTTATTATTCCAATTATTCACTGTCACCGGTTTTTTTTCTTTCGTTTTTTGTTAGTTATCGTAAATGAAATGGTAGAGGAACAAGCACAGCCTAAGATGCACTATTTTAGAAAGATCTCTAAACTTTTCCGCACAAATTGCTGAAAAAAAAAGCAAGATAAGCTTAACTATTACATCAACCCTGCATACCGAATAACGATCTTCTCTATGTAGTTTTCCGCTTTTGTAAACATGGAATCCTCCTAAATTGTTTTCAATCGAAAACAAAGTTTATTGTGTCGGTTCATGCCAAGGTTATTCTATCTTTAGAATTTGAACACTGACAAAAAACGAGAAGAATACGGTCGTCAACTGTTGGAAAGCGCGCTAAAGCAAAAACCTGCGTGTTATACCACCACTTGTTTCTTGTGAATTTAATTTCCTTAGACAATAAACTCCGCATGTCTTCTTGCTTGTGTGCAACCGTAAGAAAACCACTACCTATCGGAAAATATGTAATGCACGCAGGAAATACATTTCTAGATGGTAATGACGAGTTTCCATTGAGGGAAATCAAATCACGAGCAAAGGTCTCTCTTGAACTTTAGTTTGTGTTTTATTCTATTCTACCGATCTGAAATGGCATTACTCCAAGTGTAAAAGGATCAGCAATCTCAAATCATACCAGGTTGTCGAATAAGGATTCATTTAAGACATTCTTCAAGACTTTGCTATCGAGGGATATATGAGAGTCGACGATAGATGTGCTATCTGAGACGATTGGAATTATGAGAATGTATGACTTTCATGACGTCTCATGGTCCGAGTTGCTCCGATTTTTGATACAGGGGTAACTCATACAATTAGTTGTTAAAATTCAATCTGAAAATTCATTTTATCCACAGGTTACCCAGCGTCCTCTTACGGCTTGTGCCCTGTTCAAAGGTTCAATGATAGCTCTTGTGGAGAAACTAGCTGTTAAGGTATTTTTTTTCCTCGTTACTTTGATGAAATCCTCAGTGAAATAAGTGTGAATGATAGAATAAGCGAGATGGTTAGTTTTGAGCTCGGTAAAGAAATAGAGAAAGATGTTTTTCGTCCTGTCACGAGCGTGGGACAAGACGAAAAAATTCAGTCCCCATGAGGAATCGTCATCGGGGACTTAGAATCTTTTCTTTGTCCCACGCTCGTGACAAGACGGAAAACATTTCCCAAATGTGAATGATGTATTTAAAAACTTCCGTCATTTCTATTCTAGAAACCATTTTATGTCCGATGCATCAAACCAAATGATGCGAAGTCGCCATCACTTTTTGACGATAGACGAGTCGGTCATCAGGTAACTAAGACGTACAATCAAAATTAGAAGTGAGCCCCAACCTGCTGGTTGTTTTCATCGATTGGAAGGCAGTTAGTGATTCGGCCCAATGGTCAGTGCACTGGACTCCAAGTCGAGAGGTCTAGGTTCGAGACCTGGCCGGGTCAATACGATGTGTTCTTGAGCAAAACACTTTCCTCTCGCGATGCCTCTCTCCACCCAGGAGTGGAATGGATGGGTGCCGGCAAATTGTCAGGAAAGCCTGATGAAATGTTGGGGGGCACATTTGCGATGGACTGGCATCCCAGCTAGGGGTAGTAGTAATACTCCTAGTTGCTGCCCGTTACATGGAAACCAGGATAAGCTCCGGCTGGCTAGGCCAATAGGCTCGAGTACAGATTTGTTGTGATTTAGAGAGACGAGACATTTCTCCTTCCAGGAGTACAGATCGGAAACAATAAGCTGTCAGGGAAACCGTACTAGAAGTTTTGAAGTGGAATCACGCTCAGGGGAGTTATAATTGCTTTCGTTTGCCACAAAAACGGTTTAGTGGTGTAGACCACTTAATTCGTTTTCCAGGTATTGGAAAAATAACAAGGGGTGAAGTAGAGAGCATTTCTGACTACTGACATTGTATTTGTTGTAGGTGGACTACCTTGGCTTGATGCAGAATCTGCGTGTGAGGCGAGCTGGATTTGCCTTCAGGATGCATTACAAACGATTTCTTCAAAGGTGGGGCAGTGATGGGAACCACCTTTAAGTAAAATTAGCGCCGGAAGAAATTCCTTTTTAAAAAATTATTGAATTCTTTCAAGTTTGAATTCAACACCAGGACCTTAAATAGACCAAATGTTTACTTTTGTCAAGCCGCCAAACTTTAAATGACAGCTGTAATGTTTCTAAGATGGTACAATCTTTAAAATTTAATCCTTGTTATATTTTACCGCAGGTATAAAATGCTTGTGGACAAAACTTGGCCTACCTACAGTGGGATTGACAAAGATGGTGTTGGTGAAATCATCGACCGGTCAGGTTTTTCCTCTGATGTCAAATACGGTCGAACTAAGCTGTTTATTAAGACACCTAAGACTGTGTTCGAGCTGGAGAAGAGGCGAGCGGAGACTGTGCCAAACTTAGTGCGAATTCTTCAGAAGGTAAGGAGCAGTTGTTTGCAATCAACAGGTGGAGGTTGTGAAAATTACAGGCACTGATAAGGCGTAAGGTATTTTTATCCAATTAGAAAAACGCGCTTTGTTTGCGGGTTCATAATTTCGCTTCCTTTTATATGATATTATCATTGTTTTACGGTTCGTTTTACAGCACTGGCGAGGTGCACTGGTCCGAAGGCGCATGAAGAAGGTTCGTGCGGTATACCTGATCATGGATAACTTTAAGAGATATCAGTGCAGAAAGTTCGTATTACAGATTCAAGACGCCTACAGGTACAAACCACTCCTAACTCAATCCTTAGCCACTATGGATTTGAATAAGCAACATTGATTGAAGGCTAAGTTTTTTCGTTTGTCTCACGATGTAGTCACGAGTGATGTAGGCGATGACTGGTCATGCGTGATCTTGTAAGCATGATGATGCTCTGCTGTGATTAGTTGTTTTTCAACAGCTCTGATTGGTGCATTTCGATCCTTGCTGTTTCACTCAGTGATTTGCTCCCTCGGTGGTCCGCTGTCGCACGGCTCTCCTGTTAGTGTGTTTTTTGATCAAGGGCATCCACGCTTCTGGAATTTCTATTCCACTATCCCTGTTGATGTTGTTGGGGTGAATTCTTATATGAATTGCCTCTTTGACTCTGCGCGTGTAGTAATAAGGGTCACGATCAATAAACTTAACTTCTTCCAGAGTGGCTTGTGCCCGGTGTTGTGGGCATGCTCTGAAACGGCGGAGGCAAGCGGAGGCAAGTTCTCTAGCAATTTTTAAACGCCTTCTTAAAGGACATTTTATCTGATTTTTTTTTTTTTTTTTTTCTTTTCTCCCCTTTTGTAAATTTTAGCAAATTTTACCTAACCTTGTAATCTTATTGTAAATGTTTATATGTAATTTTTATTGAACCCAGGGCCCCTAAGGATACCAGCCTTGCAGCTGACTGGGCTACCCTGGTAAAATAAAGTTGTCTTGTCTTGTCTTGTCTTGAGGTCTCAGTAAGGGCGAGTCGGATGTCTCGATCGTGCTCTTTAATTCTGTCTTGCATAGGTCTTCCGGTCTCTCCGATGTACACCTTGCCGCATTTACAGGGAATCCTGTAAACTACGCCATCTTGTTTAGCCGGGTTGATAGCATCTTTTGGTCGTACTAACTGAGATCTTAGCGTAGTCTCCGACTTGAAAACAGTGCGTACGCCTTGTTGTTGTTGGCAACGGCGAAGCTGTTCGGACAGACCTGACACAAGGTAAAACCGCAGTAGCTCTAAACTCGTTGGCGGGTTCGGCACTGTTGTGTGGTTTTCTGGTCTTGGTAAGTTTCTGCAAGAAAGAAAAAGGATAGCCATTAGAAACCAGAACAGATGACAGATGTTTTTTCTCCTCGGAGATGACGGAGGGTTTTGTTACGAGACGTTTGGCGCGCTCGTAAAGGCACTTAACAATACCGCGTTTTACTGATTGAGGGTGGTGTGAATCATACGCTAAGTATTGATCGGTGTGCGTGGGTATCCTGTAAACGCTGATGGTGAGTCGGCCGTCAGGTTCTCTTAAAACTGCGGTGTCTGAAGAAGACTTGGAGTATGCAGTCGAAACGTCGCGATCTACATCACACGTGACTACATCGTGAGACAAACGAAAAACTTAGCCTTTATTGTTATTCACCACGATAAATAACCACGACCTTTTTTACGAAAATTGATTAAGTTGTTCAAAGCCAAGTGTTACCTTACTTTTTCTTTTACTTCTTAACAAAAACCGTACACTGTCCAGACAACTGGGGGTGTGGAATAGGCCTGATCAGTGGACTCACGATAATAATTATTGACATTATAAATATTTGTTCCTTCTCTCTGCAGTGACTGTAAGCAGCGCGGTGACTATGGAAAGTCTATTACCCCACCCACCCCCCTTAGGGCATGCCAAGAAATCGCCTCTTTCTTCGCGAAAATCTTCGGAAGGTGAGGCAAACTTAAATAAGTGATGCAGAAATTTCATATGAATCGATGAGAAAGTACAGAGGTTGTTGGTCCATGTTCGTTTCTTGAAGTGATGGCAAAATCACCTGGCTGAACGAATGTGCAGAAACTTCGTGAACTTTACTAGACCAGAATCCAAATCCTTACCTAAATTAAAGTTAGCCCAAGTTATGCGTAGGCTCTAATTCCGTCGTGTTCTGGACTCTGGTCTTCGTTCATCTTCAGTCGGTGCTTGGGATGCTTTCCCGAAAAGCAATAAATTATCGCGCCTAAATAATGCTCAGTTTGCAGATTTCGACACGCATTGGTTGTTATATATTTCTCAGGCTCGGTTTTGGAATTTTATTTTTGTGTGTTTGTCAAAGGTGGTGGGCCTCTAAGGTGTTGTCACGCATTCCAGATCAAGACCGTGACGAGGTTATGTTGAAAGCTGCAGCGTTTGATTGCTTGGGAGGAAAGCGAAAGAACTGGGCACTGCAGACACGATGGCGTGGAAACTACCTTGCAGAGGTAATTGTGGAAATAGCCTGTTTTCATTGTTTCGCAGTAGTAAGAGGGAGATATCAATATTCCTAGCGGGAGATAAGAGAGAAGAAGCAAAGCTTGGTTCAATCAACTGCATTCTTAACGCAAGTTCTGTGCAAGGTGGTAATTCTCAGTAAAGAAAAAAGCGGGAAAACATGAAAATCCTTCGAGTAGCTTCATTATCTAGCTCTCTTATTTGCTTTTTTTTATCTTGTCCTTAGCCCGAAGAAAACTCCCAGTCTGAGGTGTTTAAAAGAAATGTTGTCAATAAATTCACGACGAATGGAGAAGAGGTGTTGTTCTCTTCTTATGCCAAGAAGGTAAACTTGTCACTTTATAGTCTTGGTATCACACATAATATGCCTCGTAAAACCTGTCAGAAATGTAATCCTGAGTTTTTGGGTAACTTTTTTTTTTCCCCTGGTTTCACTCTGTGATTCTGTTTGCAGGTGAACATGAAATTGAAGGTGGCTGACCGCATTGTGGTGGTGACAACTTCAGCCATTCTTAAGTTGGACAACAAGTACAAAGTCATGAAGACAATACCACTTGACATGGTAACTGAACTTCTTGCAGTAATTGTGTCACCAAGTTTTTTATTTGTTTATTATATATTATTTTGGATGATAACTTGAGTCTGCATCATTGAACAGATGCGTAACGTAAGTTTCTTGGGTATCCCAACCGCTTAGCTAACCGACAGACAGACTGGCTGACTCATTTCTGATTGACTGACTGGCTGACCTTCTGACTGTCTCACTGATTCATCGACTGATTGACAGACTGGCTGATTATTACTGACTGTCTTTCGGATTCATTGACTGATTGACAGATTGACTGTGTGACTAGCTAAGCATCACTGAATGAATGACTGAAAGACTGATTGGTAGACTTACTGACTGACTAAGTGATCGTGACTGACTGAGTTACTTACCTACTATCTGTTTATTATATTATTATTATTATTATTATTATTATTATTATTATTATTATTATTATTATTATTATTATTATCTTCCCTTCTCTTTGATCAATCGAGGCTGACAGGTCGCTCACTGGATTGATTACCTTGATTATTGACAATTGTTGCATGGATTAATGGACTATGATGGATTCTTTGACTTATTGATTCCCAAACTGAATAATTAGTTGTTTGACAGATTGATTGACTTCTCGATATATTTATTGACAGGTGACAGGAGTGAGTCTTACTCCAGGTGACGATCAGCTGTTAGTAGTTCACCTCGAACACAATGACCTGGTCGTCTGTTTGTTCAACGAGTCTAAAGCCAACAGAGTGGCAGAACTTATGGCGAACCTCTACCTGCAAATATATGAGTAAGCTGTTCTCTGTTTTTCCTTTGACTCTACCGTACGAAATCATTTTTGAATCGGTTGAATTTATTTTTGAAAATATTCTCTTTTTTCATATCTCACCTTTTTTTCTTCCTGTAACTTTCTGGTCATGTTGTTAGCACGCTAGCTAGCTAGATTCTAGACCAAGATATGATGTTTTGTTCTTGGACCGGACACTTTGCTTTCACGGTGCCTCTTTCTTCCCAGAGGTGTAAATGATATCGGTGAACTGTCAGAAAAACCCTGACAAAATGCCGGGAACTAACATCTCATCCGGGGAGGAGAATCAATACTTTCACTTCCACTTCCGTCACACTACCGCAACTTGAATAGTGTCATTTTTCCCACCCTCGAGGTAGCTTGTTGAATTTGAGGAGAGAGTAACGGGCCAGGTGGAATGCTGGAATGAACTGGAAGAAAACAGGAATATCTCTTTATCGCCACAAGTAGATAAGCAAGGTGTTAAGATGTTAAGGCTTAGAATTTCTGGATTTGTATGTATACACAGGAAGTCTCGTAAGATGCTGAATGTTCGCGTAGACTCACGGGTAAAATGTGAACTGGGTAAGAAAGCGTACAACTTGACGGTGAAAAACGGACCCGGAAACTCTGCCATGACGTTCAAGAAGGTTGGTAACAACGATCTGACACTACTCTGGCCGGAATCTGGGTAACGCCGAGCAGATAAATTTCTACAAAACTTTATCTTTAGGTCTCTTTGTTGACTGGAAACTTGAACGAGTGAAAAGTCCATGTACGGTCATCACTTTTGTAATTAAAAATAATCGCTCCTTTAAAGAGTGACTTTTAAGAAAAATATTCACGAAAGGAACATGTTGAATTTAACTTTTAGATCTGCGATAACTTAATATATGCTGCAATGTTTGTCAATAAGCTGGACTTATTAAAGGGCTGACCCGGCCCTTACAGAAATTTTATTAAAACTGTAATTTCTGCAGCGTGGTATTATATCTTCTTTTGTCCCCCAGTTTATTTCCTCAAACCTGAGAGCTATTTTCAGCCTTGTTTTCCAGTTGAGGCTGCGTTTGCCATCGTGGTAGTTATTACGGTCACAAAAGGTGGCCGACATTTATTCAAGAATCTAAAAGACAAGACAATTTTAAGGAAAGAACGTAACGAATTCTTTAAATTCGACTTCGACTGATCCACTTGGCGTATTAAAAAAACTGCAGCAACAACAACCATTACGAAAGATTCAAAAGGAAAAAAGGAGTCTGCTTCTGAGATATCACACGTCTACCCAATATTAGAGCAATTATCAATTCAGCTTACGGTAATAAGCTCATTCAAAGCCATCTCTCACCTCAACCCTCCCGCAAAAAAATCTAAGAAAGTTGCGTTTAATCCATGAAATTTGTTTGAATTTTGTGGTGGCCATTTCAAATTTTCTAATACGCAGTCAATGTTTGGACATGCATCTACGTCTTGGGCGATTGGAAATTTCCGGAAGATACTTTCAGTTTCCGATTGAAATATAAGCTACGAGAGCTTTTCGAGTGTTTTTGGGTTCCAGACCTCGCACAAACTAACTACTAAAAACGGACGCCACAAAACCGATTTGAAATAAAGTAAGTAAATTAAATTTGTGGTCACTGCGGTGAAAAAGAAATTGGGTTCAAAGAACAACAACGAAGATAAAACGGAATGAAACTGGTTTGGACCAAAACCATGCAAGAGACGAAGTAATCTTTTAGGAGCTACGCTAGGCAAATAGTTTAGACATGAACATATCTATTCCACAAAAGAAGCCCTGACTTCACTAATACTTAAACATTTCTACTTTTTACATTCAAATAAACGCTTTAACTGCATAGGTAAATGGGAAGTGTAGAAGGTCCGGCGTTAGGAGAAGAATTTGCGGAAAGAGATAGAGTTAGTAGAGTCAATTTATAAAGCATTTCCTTTAAAAAAAAATCCAAACTGTTTAAGTAAACAACAAAATCAAGTTTCTCAGAATCTTGATAATGTCGGTATAGGTATTCACATGATTTCGAATGAAATTTGGAATAAATCAACACGAATAAATTTTTCAAAGGCTAACCAAATTGCACGAGCCCGTAGGGTGAGTGCATTTTGTAGTCTTTGAAACTGACATTTACGAGTGCTGATTTACTCCAAATTTCAGGAGAAAAATCATTTCCTAACTTGTTAATAATATTCAGGCAAAAGTATGACTGTTTTTCTTTTTAGTTGTCTTTATTTCGTGTCAACCAGTTTGGGCGCTTGCCTTTTCCTCAGTTTTTGCCGGAGTAGTTGGGCTATTTTATTCAAGAATTTGTTTCGAACTTTTAAAACCTCTCGAGAATAATTGAGCATTTTTATTTTCTCTCTGTTAGGTATCGGACAACAGCAGTAACAATCATGTGAAAGCTATCACGCTCGTAATCGTCCCCGTCTTTCGTAGGAACTGTTGCGTAAAACTCCTCGATAATTTTATCTAGGGCGTCCGGTTCATACTTTCATTTCCGTTTCTGGGAGCCAGACTTTTAGCAAATTGTTTTCCCTGTGTTGGGTGTTTTTGTTTTAGCATTATACCTCACAGACTCTAAATTAAAACGTTACTTTCTCTTCACCTGTACGCCATTCTGTTTTATTGTGCTTTTGCGTTTTACTGCTGTCAATCAACTTAGTTTCAACCGCCTTTTGCACTGAATTTCAACTTTCTGCACTAGGATTTATTAACGTGTTCAGTCAATGAGCATGCTGAAATTTCTGCATATGTGTTATTAGTGATAAGAAATATATTGGTAAAGATTATTATATATTAATCATTTGCTTGCACTGTGGTTGTCTTTCTCCGTCATTGAAATCTTGTTTGCTGTACGCATGATTTTATGTGAGAATAACTTGGAAAGCAGCGTGGGTGGAATAAGCGAGTGTTTGGGCGGACTTTAAGGAAGTAGTGCGAGAAACATTAAAGAATTGTGCAAGGTTTTCTTCAATATATTGACTCAAACTTTATCGGAATCTTTATCATGCAGAGAGAGCGTAATGCAATCAAACTGCAACTTTCTTGATCCACCATCTGCAAACTATTTTATACTAAAGAACTTTCTTTCGGTAGTGTTTATCTTTTTTAGTCTTATATTATCTTCGCTTTTGATTTGCCTTGTCGGCCTCTTTTATTTGAGCGGAAATTCTCTGAATCAAATTTGAATTAGTAGAGAATCAGATGTACGGCACATCAAAACGTTCACAAATTCAATCTTATGCGAAGGTTTTGTGAGATCGAAGAAAAATATCGTAAAGGAATCTGAATTTCGGAATTATCACATTTCATGGTCAACATTCAAGTGATGCTAAAATGAAGTCTGATGTTAGAATTCTGTTGTGAGATTGCACGGCAGATGACGGATCATCTTTTTATATGGATACTATGGTGAAATTTGATGACAGAAATATGATAAAGTCTGAATGAGAACGTGATCGCAGCTTTAACTTTATTTCAACTGGTGATTTTAACACCTCTTAATGTGAGCTGGTTCTCAGTTCGAAGTGCACCGCAGGATTACATTTCGCAATGACCCTTCAGTTTAATTCTGAATATGAACTTCTCGCTCGTGGGATAAGTTACCATAAATATTTACTACCTCTACTTAAACACTGAAAAGTGCACATAAAGATTCCATCCAAACGAAGCACTTTCTCCCTGCAATATATCAATTCATGTAAGAAATCAAACACATTGTTCTGCGGATTGAGCAATATTTACATTGCTAAAAATACTCACATATATAACATTTTATGCAAATTATTTTTAATTCAATTGAAAAATTAAGCATCAACTGTGTTTTACAAAGGAAATCATCTCCTCTCACTTAAAATTGATTTTCTTCTGACGCTAGTTGATAAATAATTCATGCAAAGATGACGTGTTTGTCTGAGGGGGAACTTTAGATTACCTTAATTTCAAACGTATTTCGAGACTTTTCCTGGTGCGCTTTCTTTAAACTATAACGCATATTATTTACAATTTGTTTCGATGACAGTTTTCTTAAATAAACCACTTTTTTTCTTACACTGAAATTATATACACTGAGAGAATCTAATTTTTGTCAATGGCATTTGTCAACAAGAATGACTTTTTATCATAGACGTTAAAAATTTACCTCAACCTTTCTCTTCTTAATTATTTAAATCAAAAGTTCATTACATACACTCTCTGTGAGGATTGCTTATTTACTCTCTTCTTGTTCAAAGAAACTTTGATCCGTATTTGTCAGACGTAATCGGTATCTAAAACTAAAGGAAGCTGAGTTCAGTTTTATTTTCCAAGCCACAGCTAGCTCTGTCTGAAACATTTACCACTCATATCTAATTTTTAACTGCGGTTGAAAAACGCTGGGGGATTTTCAAAGTAGCGGAAATGACATTTATTCTAAAAGTCTTCCTCTGTCGTAATTGCTGTTTCATTTTTATTAAATTCCGAAAAGTATTTTGCCCAATCAAGCTTATTCAGCCTTCGTCATTGTCAATTAAAAACTGAGCAAAACAATGAGGTTTCCATTTCAGTAATGGGCTTTTTGAAAATGTTTTCGTTTCAGTCGGCCTAATGACTCCATTTTTGCAAGGAAATTGCTTTCTGCTGTTTTTTTTGAAGAGTTCTTTCTCTTTTTGAAGCATTCTCGTGGTTTTAAAGTACTCCGATTGCCGGCTAATCCATAACAACGAAAGAACACTTTTAATCAAGCTTTGTATTTCTTTCTTTGTTTGCATTTGCCAACAGATAACATTTCAGGCATAACTAGCTTCTAAAAATGGAACTGAGCTGTCTTAGGATGATGTCGTCTGAATTTTTAGAAACGAAAGCTAGTACACCAAATCACAATGTGCATTAAACATTCAAATACAATCAGCATGAACTGCATAAATTCCATTCCACGTGCATAAAACATTCGAAAAGTCGCCGATGTCACTGATTTCGAAATAGATTTTCTTTTCGGTGCATAGTTAAAGCATATCGAGAAAAATATTCACCGAGAATGAATGTTGTTTTAGCTTTTTCAGTTTCGTCTATAACATTTGGCGAGGATCTTATCCAGGCTTAGAAATCGTTATTGTTGTTGTTGTTAGTTTGCAGTTCAATTAGTTAGACGATTCCGGAATGATTTTTATCGATCATTGTTGAGATCGAAAAAAGATAATTTTTGATCTTGTGTGCCATGTTACAAACGGACACTGTCAGTTCATAATCACATCTAACACTTGAGTTTCCATTACGTTCTTAAGGCTCTCACCAAGTTTTACTACTTTTTCGTATTTTCATTTGCAAAGAAAAAAACCACTCGCTTAATTTCCGTTTTTTTTAAGTTTTAAAAACGATTCTCAGCTATAAGCAACAGAAAAGCAGAATGATTTCTATTCGTAGATTAGGAACTGCTAATAAATTTTTCAGACTGTTTCAAAACAAATCCAAAAATTAAATGCTTGGACACGACAAATTTGAACTAAGTTGAAAAGAGAGCAGCAGTGAGATAGACAGTTTTATTTCAACATACTCTAAACTTTGACAAAAAGCCGGCCGAGTGTACGGTTTGGCTTTAAACAACAAGTTTTGTCACCCTCAACATTGATTAATTGTTGAAAAAAACCGAGCAGAATAAATTCTAAAATATCCTTTGATATATGCTCTGCTGGTATTTCTGAAGGGAACAAGAACTGGCTCCCATTTCGCTTTTTACCCGGAGAATGTGGCCGGAAAATGCTTTGGCACTTTATCATAAATTTCAACACCGCAAAGCCACAGAGGTTCTTGAAAATCCACGAAATAATGAAATTAACATTCGCTTTTATCACGAATTGCTGGAAGCGTTAAATATATGATTCTTTTTTAGTAAAAGCAATGATGATTTGCACAGGACCTGAAAGCAAACTCAATGCGTAATGATACCGAACTATAGAAAGTAATGTCTTAAGCTAAATATATAACCTAGAGCATAGATTTTCATCTGCACGAAACGAGCGAATAATCTGGCAACTAAAGAAGAAATCCGCACATTATTCTCCAATTTCAAACTACTGTTTCGCAGGAATCCATTAAAAATGACAGTCTGCGTGTCGTAAATGAGACCGAGCAGGAAATTAGTGCTAAAAAATGGGGGTTTCTCGGGAAGATTCATTGGTTTCAATTTCTAATACCGAAACATCAGAGGCAGTCAAAATTAAGAGATTTCGTAATTTCCTGAAGAAACCGGTTATTTCCCACGATTGGAGTTTAGATTTTGACGTTTTTCTTTGTGAAAAGTTGAATAGACTAACTATTTTTTCGTTTGACTTCGAAGGAAAAAATTATTTTGCAATGATTGCGCGCGGAAAAATAATGGAATTGACGGCAAGATCACGCGCAGAGGTAACTGATGTGGGAATCTTTTGCTCGTTAAAAAAAATTCACTCCTTTCCTGAAGTAGCGTTGAGCTGAAAACGTGCATTGATTTCCTAATAACTGACATCTGTGATGGAAGGAAGCCAAACAATTATTCAGATCATTTATATTGTTAGAATCAAGAGTTTCTCATTTTTTTTTAACCTTCTGATAGCAATAACCCCAAGGAACAGATGTTATGTTATAAATAAACATTTTAATGATCATTTTCTTTTGTGTTGAATAAAATCTGAATTTTACATTTTGATTGATGGGCGATTTTTTGCCATAAATTCTGCTTTTCAACGCACGAAACTCGTGTTCCTGAAAAAGGAACTTTCTCACCTAATTCCACACCGCGGGCACGTTTTCTGGGCAAAGCTTGACTTTCATCTCATATTTATAAGCAATAAAAACCGCAGATGTATTTTCCAGTTCTTTATCCTTGACCGCGAAGATTATCGAGTTCGAGCTTCCATATTTGTCCGGAAAAATTAACAAAAGAGAATATATAAAATCCATCGAAGGTCGAAATGCCAGTTGTAAAATAAACGAGTTGTTTACAGAGCTATTGTAATTTTTCAATGCTAAGATGCGCTGAATAAGTTATGAACTCCATAAAATCAGCTGCAATATTCTAAAACAGAGGGAAGTTTAGTTTTGATGAAAGCGACGCGCATAGTTAATTAGCAAGCAGCCTCTGAAATTGAAATATACTATTTTACTTGGAACGCCGGCCCGAAAGCTTTGTCCAATCTTTTTTTTTTCGGTCAAGAAAATTATTTACACCTATTTTTTTTTAAGCAGGAGACCATTTGATTTTCAGAAAGCAAAGGGCACTGGGTATTAATTCTACCCATCTCGTCTGTCAGTTATAGACGATCCACCATAGTTTTTCAGTTCGACCAAGAGTTCGCCAAAAAATTTCGGCTCTCTGTTCATTTGAAGCATTTTCTCGCTCAGGTTGTTTGTTATAAGCATACACCGGTCCCAGAAAGCTCTCCTGTCTCCATCCACAAGGAAAGGTTTTAAAGGATAGCTTATTTCGGGGCCGTTGTATGTGTAAGCCATGTACAGGCATGTTAAAATTTCAGCGCGTAACTGGGCTGGATTAGGGATTTTATCCGACAGACTTTCCTTTAGCAGCATAAATAAGAACACAAGATTGGGTGGTGTCAAGAAAGCTTGATCCTGCCAGCCTTGTAGTAGTAACGCCCTATCAACTCCTCGCAGCCATAAAATTACCTCCGATGCACGGAAGCGAGTTAGATTCTTACAATGGCAGCGGACGAAATTTCCCAGACAGCGAAGAGCGTCGCTACTGATCAGAAACGACTGCGAAATCGGTAGTTTAGGATTCGCTGGAGGGATATCAACACCTTGGCTGACAACTTGCATGGAGTCTGTCGTCTTGATTGGCAGTTTAATTTCTTGGGTTTGTGCGAGGAGCGGCGGAGCTGGATCGCTTTTTTGCGTTTCAGTTTCCTTAAACTTGCTTGATTTAGAAGGTGCTGGTTCGATCTTCGATTTCATCTTCTTCTTGCCCACATTAGCGCATTTGTGGAGGTACGCGGCCACGGCATCGCAGGTTGTTTGAGGCGCCTTGTTCTCTTTACTGTGAATGTCGCTGTTAACATGATAACAACACTTACAGTGGTAGGACTTGCCACTCTCGCGAGCTTTGATATTCCATATGGAATACTCGTGTAGCAGATCTTTCCTATTAATGGAAAGGGTTGCTCCCATCGTTAAAAACAACGGATGAAGCGTGTATTCTGCCAAGCCACGGGTTCACAGATACGTGGTATCTTGCTCCTCGTTGGACTGCCGTGCGCGCTACAAGAAACGACTTAAAACTGAATGTGGCAGGTGGCAATACATTGGCGAGCGCTCAAATTTAAATCGATTGTGTGACTCGCTCTGTATTTGTTTTTATGTTACGCGGGCATAAAACCACATGACCAAGCAGTCGCCAATAGCAACCGGATTAATATAGCTATGACATATCCTCTAGGGGACAAATCATCCGCAGAGAACCAATCAACGGCGACTTGGCCAGACTTCCTAAGTATCGTTCGATAAAATTTCCACCCCAGAGGTTAGACATAATGGGGAAACTGAAATCGAATCAGATTAAGTCAGAGTCACTTAAATACCATGTAAATAGTCAGTCATAGATGGAAATAGATCGCGCAGGAAGGTTATTAGAATATTCATGTTCTGCACAATTCCAAAGAAGAAAAAAAAATTATGCCTTTTTTCAAAACGAAAAGTCTCTTGAAAATTCTAGTAATTACGAAAATTTATTCATGTGATGGTCTGAGACACATTTGTGCCAAGTTTTTCAATAAAGCATGACTGATCTTCCCTTTTGTCGCTTCCTATAAACCGAAATTTCAATGTTTTATTTTTAATATTCACTGGCCTAGGTTAACAAAACAAGTTTGTCAAAAGGAGCTAAAAGGTTTTAAATGGAAAGGTTTTGAGGCAGCATAATTATTTCAATGTATAATGGTTTTCTTAATGAAACTTCATGCTATCGAGGAAATGTGTCAACGCAACTTAACGCGAAGCTCTGAATCGTGTATCTTGGGTAGACAGAAGGAATAAAGAATTTTTGAATGAAAAATGATACTTGCGAAATCAGGCCGAACTACGTAGTAAATGTGTTTTGAGAAGACGATGATAGATGGTATCAGAGTAGCATGTCGATTGGACGCTTTGCGACCGCTTATCTGCTAAGCGATGAATCCAGAAGTCTGATAAATTATTGGCAAGGAAACGTGACCAGTCCACTTCAATGATGCGTTGTAGTTTTCGGAGCAGGTGGATCTTGGTGGGTGATTGAAAATACCGCCAGCAGGTATTGCAAAAGGAAGCCACTTAGACGTCAAAAAGCGCACATCGTTTCCTACGGAATTTTCCATTTTCTTTAGACAAATGTACTCCGCCTTGAAACCCGGCAGTGCCGACACACAACTCTTATTTTATTTCTGACGCATTTCCCCCCAAAGAAAACAAAAAGTGAACGATCTTTTCAGAAAGTGAAATTTGGCTTGAATTGAGGAAAATTCGACGCCACGCTTCAGCTGTAATTGTCAGGAACAGCGCCAAAGGACGTGCTAGAAAATCCAACAGAAGTATCAGTATGTCCGACAATCACTTGCTTCCTTTAACTCTAATGCTACCACTTTGAGTAATTAACAATTATAAACAAAATCTGAACGAATCAGCGCACTTTGTATTCGACGCACGTTTCAGAGAATTTTGAATAAGGAGAAACCCAAATTCTATAAACTGCTGTGAATCTTATTATTTTTGCGGCCAGAAGTTGATTAGAAATAATTTTCCCGGACGGGATATACGTGCGTTCTTGCGCAACTCGATGCAGCAAGTTTTTAAAGACACATAATTCTTAATTTAGCACGAGACATGAGAAATAATGCCTGAATGAAATTAAATCATAGCAGTCTGACCTTATTCTAGGCATAATTTCCATCCATATTTTAACTGTTTTTTTTCAAATAATTGTTTTATTTTTTTCAGTATACCCTTTATTTTCGCACTCATGTTCATAACCACTAACCTTCCGAGCTTCGCTCAGACAAAAAGAATTCCTCTCCAGTGAAAGTGAGCGAGACAGATCTTCGGTAGTTCACCTCAGTTTTATAACTATTTCTTTCAACTACTGCCATTTGTCTAAGTGTTTGATCTAAGACAATAATTGTGTGATTGCCAGAAACCCAGATTTGTTCCCTGCTAGTAAGTTTTTGATCCCATTTCCTCATTTAATAATACTTAATTAATCTGTTATACTCTCCCACCGACGCAGCACCACAGTTTCTTTAGGAACTACCATCAATGCTTGCCTTTCATAACCGCGGTAACCTGGGGACTAAAGCATACTACCAAGATGGCGGCTGTTTTAATGTTTTCAAACTTCTTGGCTTAGAATTGATTGATCAAGTCGTCGAGTTTCTTTTGCAAAAGTAACGCCAGCACAATGTATCATCCATCAAGAGGCGGAGTTCGCGGTGGACAAGATCAGTTTGATTGGGAAGATGTAAAGCTCGACAAGCACCGAGAAAGTTACTTGGGTAAGTGAAAGGTTACATTGACCTCTATTCGATGGTTTATTGTCACAAAACATCGATATTAAATAAGGTGATCACGGACCTTTCTATGCAACTCTTTTGAATCCATGAGCATGATAAATAAATTATTTTTCATTGATTCAGTTGGGAAAGAATATCAATTTTGACTCCAGTATTTTCAACTTACATGTAATTTGCGGAGACTAATCACAATTTTAGACTACGTTTATACAAGGTATAACTTTGTGGAATGTTAAATTTCTTGTACGTAATGTAGTAATATTTTACTCTGTGTTTTTGACCATAGGTCATTCGGTTAAGGCTCCTGTAGGAAGGTGGCAAAAGGGAAAAGATCTACACTGGTAACTACCATTAATACCGTTTACAAACTAAGGATGTTGTTTTATTGGCTCTCGTAAGACTGAGTCATTTTCAGCCAGAGCTTATAGGCTTTTCAACAAGAGCTGGAGACCAGTAAAATTTGCCATCTATTTCTCATGATCGTGCTGCTCACTTTAATAAAATAACAGTTGAATCTGATTGTTTTTTCATTAGTTTGCAATATGAAGAGCACTAATATGCCAAATGCTCAACCAAATCTTTGGAAATTATACCAGAGCTCAAGGAAACATGATGAATCTCACTTGGAAGATCTCTTTCTTACTCCTTAAATATTATGTCATAAAAGAGAACTTTGCCATGATCAATATCTGAGCATGCATATATTTTTGAATCTGCCCCTTTTTACAATCTTTCCCCTGGTGTTTTCTTTTCTGTCTACCCATATTTAAATTTTTTCTGATGTAGAAGGTGAATGGATATTACAGGTACTATTACTGGGAATCCTAGATAAAAACTGAGTTGTTTTATACACCTTGTTGGATAACAATTGTGCTATAATGACATCAAGTCTCCGCTTTTGTTTTGCTTTTTGACATATTTAAAGCTTGTGGTATGTTTGTGTCCAAACCTTGCTCTATCAGAAACCCTGTGGAGCATCCTTTAATATGGTCGTACAGTTTATTATTAGGATGAACATGTGAAAAGGGTAATATGTTTAGCATCACAAAGTCATATTTAGGAATCAGTAGCTGGTAAGCTTCATAACTACTTGCAATATCTTCATTGGGTATGTAAGTTGTCAATTGAGAAATCAGAATACCTCTAATGAGATGATTTTCACAATATGTAGACTGAGAATGCAACATGTTACCCTAGTATTACTTACTTATTTAACAACTCTCATCAATCCCTAGAGAATATATTTAGGAAAATATATATCATGGGTAAATATTCCACATGAACTTGTATAGTTTACAATTTACATGTACTGTAAAAATGTGAAATTTTGAAATGGTCAAAGAATAACCAAGCAGCATGATTTTAAAAACAGCAATACACTATTTTATATTTCAGGTATACAAAAAGTGGTAAAGGAAACTCAGGAATGTCAAAGCAAGAGGTAATGGACCAATGACTGTAACAGTTATCACTAAAATGGTTACAAAAACAATTGATTTAATCAAAGCAGCTAAGCAAAAATTGGTGGTTAATTCTTACACTCCTAAGATCTGATTATTAATTCTTTCCTCCAGCTGCTTCACATTTCCTTGTAGATGAGTCATAAGAATTTGGTATTAGATCAAGATAACAACTCTTACCAAATAAGTTTGGGTTAATTCTCATAATCTGTTTCCTGAATCAGGTATGGAAATCATAAGGAGAAGTTACCTGTTAATCACTTTTGGGAGCTAAAGGATGGAGAGGAATTATTTTGCATTGATTACAAAAGACTGTCTTTGGTGAAGATTTTAAAAAAGAAACTATTTTAATCAAATATTTTGAAATTGTATTGACTTTCATTCAAAGTGGTGTTATTTGTCTTATAAATGTTGTGCGCTAAACAGTCAAAATTAGCTTTAACCCTTTAACTCCCAGAAGTGATTCACATGTAACTTCTCCCTTCAATATTCATCCACTATCCAGCAAACAGGTAATGAGAATGCTCAAATGTATCAGGTAGAAGTTTTTATCTTGATCTAACACCAAATTCTTGCAACTAATTTACAAGGAAATGTGTACCAGCTAGAGGAGAGAATGAACAGTCAGATCTTGAGAGTGAAATGGTTAATAACAGTTTTCTGATTTTTAAATCTTTAGGAAAAAGATGCAGTTAAGCGAATGGAAGCTGAAGCACTCGCAATAGCACTGTAAGACAACATGTAATTGCATATTGAATTATTATTATTTAATGTATTATATACATTTGTTAAGAATACCACTTCAGCATGTTAATTTTTTCATGTATGGTAAATTGCTTAGTTGGATGTCCACAGCCCTTACTGGAATGTATTGATGCAGCGCATGTTAGATATGAGGTGTTTTTGAGCTGAGGAGCAGTGGAATAATTATTTACTGGTATAATACGATTAGTTTTCTACCACAAAATAATGCTGCAATCAGACTGGTCACATAACTTGCTAAGTATATATTCTTTGGCTCAATATTTTGCGGCTTTCAAAAGACTACCCGTATTTCAAATGGAATGCATTTTTTTTTCTTTAGAGGGAGAGGACCAAGCAGGAAAGTAGCAAGTGGTGTTTCAAAACAGGTTACTAAGATCTAAATATTCTGAGGCCATTAATATGTTACACTTGACTAGTACTGATGGTAGTATGTTGCATGGAGATGTGTTTAAATTTTAAATCTTCCCTCGAAACTGCTCATCAGCTTTAAATTACCTCTGCCGAAAAGTTGGTAAATTTACATAGAGAAGTCCAGGGTCAGTGCCGGTTCTGGTTGTGTATTTTGGTGTTACTCTTTAATCACACAGTGACTCTCCATCCAGGAGAATAATGACTTTGTCAACTAGCACTTCTTGTCACAAGAGCAGTTAATTACTTACAGTAAGTTGACTCTAGATCATTTTAGCTGAATTAAACTTGTATTTTAAGCTGCTGTAGATTGAGCTGCTAAATGTAAGACACACCCCTAAAAATTAAGTGACCACTGATGAAGAATTTTTGAGTTACAGCTTCTTAACTTTAAAACATCACTTTCACCAGGAACTGGCTGAAGTATGTCGCAAGGGTCAAGTGGAACGTGACTCAATGGACATTGAAAGGGTTCAAGGCATGGGATTTGGAAGGTATTACCGTAATGTTTAATTCAGGGGTGATATATTAAGAGAAACTTGATGCCAGTCACTCTTAGAGGTTGAAGGGTAAAGATTTAAATTCAAACCTTTTGTATATCATTTTATTTCTCATCAGCACGAGAGCTTCTCTTGTAGCTGGGCTGTCTGCACCCATGAAGGAGACACTGAGTGCCACAGGATCACAACAGGTGTAGTTCTTGCGGGCATTATAATGAATTATTTTTATACTTCAATTACCTACGAGTCTAATGACAGGTCAAGTTTGATTTTCCTGTTTATTACACCCATTTTGAAATCATTGGCGGTCCCGTAATCTGATTGGCTCTAATTGATGCAATTTATTCATGAATTGCACCATTTTTTGCTTTAAATCACATTTTTTTCCCAGCCAATGAGGAGGCTACACTAAAAACAAAACAACCAATCAGATTGTTTAAAGCTTGTTTAAAGATTGTTTTAAGGCTTGTTTAAAGTAACTGATCAAATTGCAGGAACATTAAAGACAAAGAGTATCATGTGGCAAATTTTGCAACTTTTGTTTCCAAAACTCTTACTTTTTCCCTCCAAAAAATGGATGAATTTAATTTCAGACTGGCTCAGTACTGCATCAATAAAATATTTGAATGTATCAAGTCCTGTATTTGGGTGATTTCAAAATGGATGTAACAAAGTGGTTGAACCTTGTATCATGCAATTTTGGTCTGAAATCTTACTTGTGATTTCAAGTCAAACTTGCGCTGCACACCTGTTTGATTTTGAAGTCATGCATATGATTTCAGCCCAAATTGCACTCCACTCAGTTCAATTACCATTATTAATTTTAAGTTATTGAAAAATGTTATTAATGTTCAGAACAAAAATATTGCATTTTTGACTAAGAGATGGGGAGACCATTCCTCTACCATATCTTTAAATATATGTTGCTTAAAGTTGTAAAAAAAGTACATTTTAAGATCACCCAAATAAGATAAGCAAGTCCTTTACAAGGGATGTTGAAATGAGAAAATCTTTTTTGTTCTGTTTAAGAGTATTTAACTGGCTATTTTTTCATACTGTCAATTTTTCCTAATATTTCTTATATGCTTATAGGAAAGACATGCAGATCCTGCAACACCAAGCAATACAAAGACAGGAGAAGTTTTAAGGAGTGAAAGAGAAGAAGACCACGCCAGTGATAAGATAAAGAGGAAGAAGGAGAAGAAAGAAAAGAAATCTAAAAAAGAAAAGAAACACAAAAAGAGGAGGCATGGTGAGATAGAAAAGAAAAACAAGAAACACCACAGTGAAGAAGCTGATAATGAGTATAAGAAATCTAAACATTCAAGGAAAAGAACACATGATCATGATAAAGTTAATCAAAATAATTCCAAGGGTGAGAGACATGATTCATCCTCATCAGGTAGTGATTCATGTGATAAAAGAGACAGATATTCCAGGAGACGACACGATTCATCAGATGGAGACATATCAAGGACAACTACTGCAAGGCACAGAGACAGAGGAGAAGAAAGGCCAGGACGACGTAGACAAAGGCATGACACTGAGTAAAACATATCCTTCTGATTTAACTACCAAGCTTTTATTAGGCTCAGCTAGCTAATCAATTTAGTATCATCTACAGTATCAAGAAAAACTGCAATAAAACACCCTTCAATCCTTATACCAGTAAACAGGGTTCAAAATAATTTTTCAGCTTCTAGCATGAATTTGTAAGCTTTTGGCAAGGCTCATTTTTTTCTTCCCAGCTGTCAATATGGTGTACATATAGTATACTTTAAATTGCTGAAATAATTTCAGTATCAGAATCTTTATTTTGATCAACATGTTTTGTTGCGGCAAATCCTAATCTAACAAAGGGTAGTGAACACCTCAATCTTTCGGTGGTTGTTCAAGCGTGAAATATACCACTTGGTCAAGACAAACTGTCACGCTTCTCCATTCACAGCTGTGGGAAATCTGCACTGTCAAGCATTGACTTAAATTTGAACGTATGAGAAGACTTTACAAACTACATTAAACAGGATTTGGCAGAAAATAAACCTTGGTAATAGGTAGTATGTACATGCAGAAACATAAACACGGTAATGTGACGGTGTGCACACAAACTTGCATGTTACACGTTTGAACAAATAGGTAGAAAGCTGAATACTGTAAACAAAAATACTACCTGTAGCACGCTTTAAATTTCGAAAGTTAAACCCTGACCAGAACATATCTTCTCCCTGGTGTTCTCTAAACCTTTTTTTATGTTTAAGAATCAAGAATTTCTTCGTTTGGTGATCATTTCCTTCATTCTCATGACCCTAAAGTTTGTTTTAGGGGTGATACTGATGAGAGAAATTAGTTACTAATCACTCTTAAGGGTTAAAGGGTTAATGTGTGATACAGAGGTGATATGGAAGAGACAAATCAGATGCTAGTCACGCAGGGGTCAAAGAGTTGACTGCCCAGGATGTTTTCTGTCATCAACATTGTTCAATCAGGATCCCCCAGACAACCATGAAAGTTTTTGTTAAGTAACTAAATTTGATTTTTCTGATCTCCAAACAACTGGAAAAGATTCACTTTTATAAAAGTGATCGCCTGGTTTTAATCCTCCACTGTAATTGGGTGAAGGTTCCCATGGTCTTTCTGCAAATGTTGCATCTTCTCCTAGCCAGCGCATGGCAACCACTTTCCTTCCATCTGGGTCTGTCCTCTGCTTTGCACCATGTAAGATTCGAAAGTGGAATGCTAAGCAATCTCCAGGCTGTCAAGTAACGTTAAGTATACAAAGTTAAAATCAAAACTTTGGTAGACTAGGGTGTTTTTAAAAAAGCAACTCATGGCTAGAGATGACTAAGCTAAAGGATGTTTTTTTGGAACCAAGATAGACAATTTTTCTAAAGGAAACTTGTTTTTTAATTTTTAGGTTAAACTAAATGTTAAGAATCTAGTTTATTAATTAGTTGCAAGTTAAAAGTGAATTACTAGGCTGGCATTTTGGTAACAGTATTTCTTACACATATAATATTATTTTACATGCAAACATGAATTATGCTCATCGTGCATGCAGGTGCAAGATTTTCATTATCAAATAAAAGGTTACAAATTGAAGGGTCACTCAGCTTGAGTGCACACTTAATCTACCTTTCTAGCTCATGAAAAGTTTAGCATCTGAATCATTAAGCAGTCTCACCTTTCACTTAGCTGTCATGTGTTAGGTTCACCACATGAAACAATTCTTACAACACTTTATTCTGAACGTTTTTCAGTACACATGTATATTAAGTGACCTAAAACAAGTTTGATTTTTACTTCCCTTTGCTCCAGATTTATTAAGGTGCCTTACCCCTTAAAAATATAAAATAAAATTACAAATCAAACTACCTAAAAATCACTTTTTCTTTGAGTTTATACAATTCAAAAAAACTGCAATAATAACCTTAAGGTCCCAGGAAAGCAAATTGTATGCATCTGGATGGCTGTCAATTTCAGGGATGTCTTCAAAAACCTTTTCATTATATGTCTTTGTGTATTTGTAATTCTGTAAGGATACAAACTTCTTAGGTTTAAACCATTTTCCCCACTTGTGGGATCCACCAATGTAAGTCAAATTTGATGATTTTGATACAGGAGTAACGGGAATCCAAAAAGAACAGTTCTGTTCAGAAAAAATAACAAAAGAAGAACCTTTCTTTATGGAAAGAGTAGGTACTTTACGAGATCTACGAATTTTAAGGACATGATAATTGAACCAAAGCAAGAGAAAAGAAAAGAAAATAATTTTTCACAGAAAAAAGTGATAAAACATGGCATGTTTCATCATTTGTGTTATTTCATACAGACACAGGGTAGGTGGAAACAAAGACATGCCCAACTCATTCTGAGATTACAAGCAGAGTGGAAATAGACATTTATCAATAATTCTATCCATCTGAAACTGTTCACTAAACTTCCTGCATAGCCCTTATAAATTCCAACTCATTCAATTAATTTTTGTTGGGAAACTTTGTAGGGAATTTTCCCATTATGTCATTACTGTGTTAGCAATAAGATCAATGTGATCACCTATTTTTACCTATTTTAAAATTATTATCTACCTACTAGGCATTTCACTACAGCAAGACCTTGTTTAGTTTCAAGGTGTGTTCCATGATAGGCAAAAGAACGAGAATTGTTTAAGGTGACCCCCTTTTCCATAAAAAGAGAGACTTAAGACCTTGGCAATCCTATCCAAGACCTGTAATTGTTGTAAAATTTCCCCCTTCCTTCTTTCACCATGCAAGCTTTTTCCTCCAATTCCTTTGCATCTCACAGTAAATACCCTCTCAATCTGGCATTCTTATCATGTGTCCATAGACTATCCAAGCTATCCATTCATTCAGTTTTACCTTCCACCCGTCCACTGGGTAATAAGACTGGTCATGATGCCATGGAGTGGTGGAAGTTGTTTCGGGATCTTTTGTGAAAACATGCTCATGATAAAATACAGTGAACTGCAAGAAAGGTGTTTTATCAAAAGTGAGAACAGATCACAAATTTGAGATTAAAAATTTTCTCTAGTACAATTCATAATTAATCAATAAAAGTAGAAGAGAGACATGGTTGTCTGTGTCAGTGGTAATAAGTTTCCATTTAATAAGTATATTCCTACTTGATGTGTATCTGTTCAGTAACAGAAAACAGAGAGCAAAATGTGGTAAGAAAAACCCCACCCCACCCCACTGCAATTCCACCCCCAGTTTGCCCCCATTAAGAAAAGTTAACCTCATAAAATAATCTAAAATCACCTCAACCTTTACTAATTTATTACCATTAACCCTTCATAAAATAATCTAAAATCACCTCAACCTTTACTAATTTATTACCATTAACCCTTCCATTCCTACAATCTCATTTGTAATTCTCCATCCAACAAGCTCACCTCATAAAATAACATAAGTTCAACCCAACCTTAAGCAGTTTGTCCCAAAATTCTATTATACCCTCAGAAGCCCCTCCCTCCCTCCCCCCACCACCCCTATCG